AGGAGGCCTCAGCTTGGACTCTGGCACCATGCAAAGAAGAAAGAAGATTGTTTTATGTTTAAGGAAGACTCAGGAGATGTGATTTGAGTTCATGGCTATCCGAAGGCAGTATTGTCTTATGGTCTCCACATGTACAGAAAACCAAATTCCCCTTTCCATGGTTTGTCCTGTAAATCAAAAATATTTACAATTTATTTTCTCAAAAATAACTTGAAAAGCTTTTTCTCTCTCTTTTTTAAAGCAACTGCAATTAAATTCTCAGGCACCAGGACAAGTAATAATTGCCTTTGTTAAAATACCTGCAGTTCGAGATGAGAATTATTTCATGAAGTCATGTAGCAAGAATGGAGTGGACAGGGAAACAACTAAACAGCAAGCCACTCCCTCCAGTCACCAGACCCCTAACCACACATGTATGCTGTGGGAGCATTGGCTCCTTTTCTAGAGCCAAGCTGGTAAATATAGAAACAAAGGAAAACTATGGATGCCTTTAAATCATTATAATCAGTGACCTTGAAGAACAGGTATAAAAGCCTGCATCTAGCAGAATCCTGACAGTTTCCTTCTTTACTATTCAGGGTAAGTACCAATCTTTCTTCCTTCGGAGCATATGTATAGCCAACAGTGCTCTTTTGTTTTTTATGTAGCTTGAGAATATAAAGCTTTGGTAATGATGTCAGTCAACACATAATGGTAAGGTAGCAAATGGTATATGGTAGCAAATTTGTCTTTCTCTGAGAATTTTGGTAGCTGACTTTTGCTTGTTCATTTAACTAACTGGAACTAGTTGAGCCAAGTCATTTATGAAAACTTGAGGTCTCTTGTTATGCTGCTGATTGGAACTCATCAGCTATTATATTCAAGTCATGTTTTCCATCATCCTTAACATCTCAGCAAGATTATAAATAATGCAGTTCAAATTTTTAAGCAAATCAGCTATCCAAGGCATGTTAAATAGGAACTGAGCCACTATCGTTTGAGAATTGCTGGGTACCACTTCAAATTTACACTAGGCCTGCCTTCATAGCTCCTGCAGATTTTCAAATCAGACTTCACTGGCTCTGTAGCCTAATGGCTCAAGCTGAGAACAAAGAACTGGCAAATTAAATTGCCTGCTTTCTAGCTTTGGACCTTCCACTGACTGGTGATTTTGGGCAAGTCACTTAACTTACTTTTTATGTCATTTAAGAACTAGAAACACTAATTCTCAAGGATGTTTTCAAGCATAACTCTGGTTTATAAAGTGTTTTGGACCCTGCAAATAAAGGCACTGTTTAAATGCAAGCTATTACTAATATTAGGGTGGGCTGGCTAACAAGTTCCCTAAAGATGGCATCACCCCATCTTTGCTGACAATAATGACTTCAAAACATCTTGTGAATCTTAGCACAGAGAGGTCTTTTCTGCTAATTTTAGCAATGCTTCTTCTTAATAGTACACAATGCTTAACAGTATAAAATGCTTATCTTTGCTGGCTGGCCATAGATTTATAGTTTCCACTGAAGAAAGAAAGAAAATCTACTTTCATAACTACTTTCAAGTCCATGCAGGACAGAAGTACATATAAAGTAAATGGTGTAGAAGTAGCTTGTTTTACATTTGGGCTTTTGAGATGATTTCCAGAATCAAATTTGCTAATTTGCTAATTAAAAAATGGACTCGTGCACGTTTATTATTAAATGACAATCCTGGGGAAACTCTTTGAGAAGATCATCAAGGAGCACATTTGTGAGGGGCCGGCATCAGAAATGATGCTCAGGGGCAATCAGC